ATATGTCAGCGAGCAACGCCGCGAAAAGCTAGGAAACAATCTAAAGCTCCAAACAGTGAACATAGTATCGTATTGTTTTGTATTGGTACAGTCAAGTAGCGTTTCTTATCGAATTTTAATTTTCATTGTCTATTTTAAAATGAATATTGTAATTTTTGTCTTACTGAGACAAACAAAGAGAATGTCGATTTCTCATTCGAAGCGAATTGTTTAATTGCTGGGTGGGCGTGTGAGACAAGTGTGTTCACCTCTGTCCTCATCACTGCAGAGCCTCGCGTAAAGCAATTAAGCCAACATCTGACTCGAATCGAGTTACTGGTGAAGATTAACAACCAAATCGCCGTATTTTTCTTGTATCTCCGTGTGTGTACCTACTTCATATGGCCATGGTTTCAAATTTGATGTTGCGTTTTGCCAGTCTTTGTATGAACTTCTCATGGAATAAGGCCACAGCAGGTGTATATACACCCCCTTGGATATCTAGCCCATTCCCGCGCTTAGCACGCTCCTTGCCGTCTTCAACCAGGGACAAGGCGGAACATACAATGAAGCTGGAGGTTGCGATGTATCCCGGTTCTGCGAAGGCAGTGGGCAGGTTGAGAAGTTAATCTCGTGGGATGGTGAAAACATTGATAAGCAATATTCATACAAAGGTACAATCTTGTGCCTGCTATTGGTAGTCGTCGATTGGAGACGGATGAACATCACACCATCACGTGATGCCAACACAATCATGTGCCATCTATTGTCCGTTCTCAAGTTGCGACAGAACACGATTCACCAGGCATCTTAACAAATATGCTCGGTGAAATTAATAGTCGCACGAGGCACCAAAACATCATTGTACACGATTATATTGAGCACGCACTAAAACAACGTGCAGCCACTACGCATGCATACCTGGGCCGATGACCCGGATCATTTTCTTTATTGTGGGAGCCTTCGTTTTGTGGTCTTTCATTGCAGCGTGTGAGTCGTATGCTGACACAATCATTCTCATTTCAAACGAGGATGCGTGTATTTGTTCTATTGTTGGACCTTCGTGACTAAACACACCGAAACTGAACAGTTTTGGATTCTGCAATTAAAGAAAGTGAGTGGAAATTAGGCGAATGGGACGGTGAAAGTGTTCTACGACACTAAAATTTAAATCCGCGGATAAGCGTAGACAGAATACAGAGGAATCGCAGAACACGTGTGCCGAGTACAGCAGTTTCAGGTGAGTTCAAAACTGAAATCTTTTTCAATCTAGTGAAGACGCGAATGATTTCATGAAATGAACGATATACACTGATCGTGACATTCACTTACGTCTAGAAGCAACTTCCGACCGAACTCGTACTTCGCCAGAAAAGTGAAGACCATTCCCACAATGGATGTGATGAACAGATAAAGTGTAGATTTCACGCAGAAGGACGCACCGAAGTTCACAGGGTGCAGACCAGCCACTTTATCCATGTAAAGTTGCGTACGGCGCACCTGTTGGTATCCGTGGGCAAGTATGAGATATGTCAATAGCGCAGAGTAAGTGTGATTGTCGTACACGACACTTAGCTCAATGTGCGAGCAAAGCTCTGTTCTATACAATGGCTCAACAGAGCGCAAACCAAAATTCAAAAAGATATAGGCAGAATTCAAGTTGCACCGCATTAGATCATATCATCCTGCCAGCTAAAGAGGCTTTGAACTTACCACACTCGCATCACTTCCAGGGAAAGGCAGTGTGTATGCATCCATCGCTTTATTCCAAGGGATCAGGTCGCCGGGCTTGGGGCGGGGGCCGATCTGTAATAGCACGTACAGAATGAGATCCTCCATTGTTTGATTGTCTGATAAAGTGTGCGCGAATGGACACATATTGTCTAAGGAACGCACTATGAGGCAAAATATAGTATACAGTTTGAGCATATAAAACTCTACAGCAGATATAAAACAATTTTAATGCACTCACTATAGGAAGTGAGTACTGGACGAGTAAATATATAGAAAACAATTCATCAACTGCGGTCGACAGGACAGGTACAAAGTAGAACAGCAATAAGGACATACCGTACTTATCGCTCCACCCCTTCCATTCTGTTCGTCCATCGCCTTGATTTGTTGTCTTGTTTGTTTGAGCTCGCCCTGCATTGAGTAGCACATGATAATAAAAATCTAATTAGTTTTCAGAAACGGCAGGCGGCGGGCACCTCGACTATCCTACTAGCACGGTGCCAATCAGAAGCCAGTCTGTACAAATTCAGATGTGGATGCTATTGCTGGGAAAAATCTCCCTTCGAACAATAACTGTACATATTCATGCTATCAGATGCAATCAGTACCACACTACGTATAATCAACGTATAGTCACACGCGCCGGTAGAATTCAGAAGAATTAATGTCTTCGTGTCAAACCACGGGCCCTCTACGTGTCAGATCAGAAAATTGACATTACCTGGTTTGCGAATCCATGTATGGCACACTCATAGGTGGTGTAGTGCGCGGAGCCACCCTTTTCAGCGTGCATGAACAGAAAGCTCTCCACTTTTGACACCTATGCGCGGTATAGTGAACGTGGTCAAGAAATTGGTGAATATAGTCATAGGCAGAAGGACAAGCCAAACAACAGGAGTATAAGACGAAATACGATAAAACACATCACAAAACACACTCAAAATACCCAAAAACAACAAACGACTTTATTTCGAATTGAAAACAACTTTGTTCAATGCTACCATTTATAACGGTGTCAACTATATCAATGACACACCAGTTGACGATCCTTGAATTGCTGCACAGCAAACTCGCACCCCAAATCGGCCGGAATCGAGTCGAATCCGCAGGCGTTGACAATCAAACTGCCATTCGATTTTGCAACATCATTGTACTTCAAATACATCCTCTCCATGAATTCTGGCTCCCCAGTGATATCTGCAGTACCATTAACCCCAAAACATGTAGTACTCTGAAATGCAACTATAACTGTATATAACAATTCTCCTGTTCCACTCATACCATTACGCTCAATAAGCTCTCACAAAGCTAAGCACAACAAAACACAAATCTCGCAGACACTCAAACTCCGTGCATCTCTGTAGTAAAACTGGAGTACGTTAAGGACACTATTGGAACCTCCGACAAGATTGCTACGAATTCAGCACAGATTACATACCAACATAGTGCGTGCCGTTCTCTGCACAGCATTTCACTACTGGCTCACCAAAGAAACGGAACTACGGTAAAGTGTCAGAGGTATAAAAACAAGTAAATAAGAATAATTATACCAGAAAAAAAAAGGTAGAAGCTTGGGACATTGAAAAAAAATCATGTATAAGTTAATACATGATCCAATCAGTTCGCGTAGAAGTCTGAAATAAGAAACGATTGCCTGCGCTATATTTGCTGACGGGTTGGAGAGTTCAACAGTGGCAATTCAAATGTACGAGAAATAACGATCTCATCTTACAAAGAAATAGTGATGTGATGTATCGGCAGGTCGCTAAGAACCTGATTACACGTGCGCACTTTACTGTTCCACTCTCCCTTTCTCTCATACGCATATATATATACGTACATACATACATACAAATATGCATACCTGCATACCTACCCACCTACCTACATACAAACATATATACACACACACACACACATATATATATATATATATATATATATTTATACATATATATGCACAACTATTACAAATTAGTCGCGTCGAAATACACCACACAACACATGAACAACACATGACTTTCAGATCGCAACATTACACGTACAATCAGCCCAGATCTAAGCGAGAGAGATGGCTAGATAGCTAAATAACTTACTGGTCCAACGCAGTTCAGAATCAGTTGTGTCGACTTCGCCATATTGGTCATAGACTGCGTATCTTTTACATCCGCCACAACTATAGCCACGTCTGCGATTTGACAGCCCTCAACTCGTCCCACCACGCGCTTCACCGTCGCCTCCACTTTCGCGTGACTACGACCGGCCGCCGCTATCTTGCCTGGTGTATGAGTTATATCACGGAGATAGGTATACCTTATAATTAGCCTCAAACAGCTGTCAAACACAGAAAAAAGACTGATTTGTGGGAGAGAATCTATACACGACACGTTTATGGTGCGAGAGCTATATGTTCAACCCCGCACACACGGATATATAGCGTACTCCGATTCGCATTCTGACATATAATAGTACAGACAACTGACATATAATAGTACAGACAAAAGACATATAATAGTACAGATCAACTGACATAACACTGCAGACAAAAGGTCACTTGTGTGCCGGTGTATATTAGCCTTGAAAGCACCGAGGTTTGCTAACTGAGGGGACTGAAAAATGAATTGTAACATACTAAGCTAATGCAACGAACGTTTTGGACTAGTAGATTACCATACAGCATTGAGTTCTATAATATATATATATATATATATATATATATATATACTATATATACATATAGTAACATATATACATACAGATATATAC